GGGATTTGTGGATTTGGCGGCAGCCAGCTGGGCGCATGCATGACGGGGTGCTTTAACTTGGAGTGGCGAAGGGAAGAGGGAGGGGGGCAGGGGCGATGTGGGGCGAGTAAGCCTGTTGGCACCGAGGCTGGCATTGACATTCAAGTTCGCACTCCCCGAGCCGCCGCGGCGCCGCGTCCGGCGAAAAACGTCAAGTTTAGCGACGGAATGAGAGAGATAAGGCCATGGAGAGCGTCGGCAGGGCGGGCCTGGGAGGCGAGCGCGTGGCGTGGTTTAGGGGGCGCGAGCGAGAGCGGTGAGCAAAGGCCTGGAGGGATTGAGGGATGTGAGGGGATAAAGCGGGGCCAACAGACGGAGACGGAGCAAGTCGTGTGGCGCTGAGCGCGCTGAGCTGGGCTATGCCGCGACCGTCCGTCCGTCAGGTCCGTCGCGTCGGCGTATCTGCGAGGGTAAACAAAGGTCTGTTTGCGGAGGAAACACGCCCTAATGGGACCCGTTTACTCCGTGACTGAGTAGCGGCGTCTCTTTTCCCCTCCTCATTTTCGCCCCTCGGGGGCCGGGCTCGGCGGGGCTCCGCCTCCTCCTCCTGCTCCGCCCGGGGCCCCGCCGCCGCCCCGCGGCGCGCTGCTCACCGAAGTGCGCGCGGCAGAACTGCTCCTGGGGGTGGGCGAAGCTGCACATGCAGCCCTGGGCGGGGCGCGGCCCGGCGGCCAGCGCCAGGGCCAGCAGCAGCCACACCGCCGCCGCCATCTGCAACACGGGATTTACAAAGCATCAGAAAATCTGGGTCGTTATTACTGAAAAATATGGTCTGCTGTAGTTGGGTGACTGCCAGTAGCGCTTCACAGTATTTTCTGTCGCCGCGTCACCGGCATGTCTCCGCGAAGGGCGGATGTTCCCTTTTAGGAGGCGTGGTCGTGGCGATCTTTACGTTTCGCTCGCCTCGGCGGGCGTTCTGGAGCCATCGGCGACTGCCGCACCCTCCTTGCACCCGGCCGGGGACGCTCAACGGCGGCCCTTGTGCTCCGCGAGCTTGCACTCGCCCCGCCAGTTCGGTGTGTTTACCCTGTACTCGATACGTCAGGCAGGCCGACCTCGCACAGTCCAGCCGACTGAATAAGGGAAGCACGGTCACCCGCCGCGCCACGCCCCGCCACCCCACGCCCCGCCCTGTGCATACAGACTACTGGCGATCTAGTTTGTAGAGGTCCGCGCGACTCGCACTGAGCGAAATATGAACGGAATTGGCTGGGCGGAGAGGGTCGGCGACAAGTTACATGATCTCGTTATATGCACGACGGCGTGCCCCCCCCCCCCCCCCCCCCCCCCCCCCCCCCCCCCCCCCCCCCCTCTCTCTCTGACTCGGCTGGCTCCGGGAGGAAGCACGGGGACTAGGACTACTGTACAGCGGCGGGAGCGGGCCAGACACCCCCAGCGCGCCCCTACACCCCTGCACGCCCCGAGCCAGCCATATAACCCGCCCCGCCCCTCCCCTCCCGACGCCCGCGGGCCCCCTCGCCTCGTTCCACGCCGTGTTCTCTTTGCTCAGCGCAGCAGCCGGGCCGAGGCCGCGGGCGCAGGACGTCGTATGCTATGGTATTTGAGGTATGTTAAGGTCTGGGAACTCGTGCCCTACTCCGCCCCGCCCC